CTATTACAAAAGCAGTAGGACTGCCACTTTAGGGCCTGTTACTAAGGTCACTTTACCTTCTGCATTAATCCTACTTGGACAATATTTTTATATCAATTTTAAGAAAATCTGTAACAAAGTCAAAAAGGTTTTCGTGTGAAGCGTTTCGCCCTTTAGGATTTTATCGGAATAAAGTGATATTTACGTTAATACGACTTTTATAGAATTTTTGCAGAAATGATTCTTCTGTTACTTTTAATGAGCCTGTTTGACCTTATTTTCTCACATAAAAGCAATATGACTTCCACCATAGGTCCCGTCACTAAGTTTCTTCTTTGCATTAATACTACTTGGAAAAGAATATATAATTTTTTTACATATATACCAAGAACAATTTTAGGTAAATCTATAACAAAGTTGAAAGTTTTTGTGTGATTCGTTTCGTCCTCTAGGAGTTCACTGGACTAAATCGATGTTTACGTTGATGCGACTACACATGCGCACGAAGGAGAGGAAATGCTGAGAATTTTAAATATATATATTTTTAAATGTTTTAGGTATATAGCGTTGACGATTAAATTTAGTTTCTTTTTGTTTATGTTTCAGTCACTTTTGTGATTAATTATCCCACATTGTGATAAGAGAAGATCTGTCAAAAAAGGTAAAATGTTGCAAGATCCAGGACGTAAATTTACTGTGGTTGATCTAGTGATTAAAGCACTTTCTATACATTTTCGTCTTAATAAATTGCGTTCTCTTTTAATTAGTGTAGCATTATTAAAACAAAATTATGGCAAGACTTTTCACGGTGAGCAACAAATACACTGAGTGTGTTGTTCTACAAAAGATACCTTTTGTGTTCATATAATTTTTTATTTAAATTTCTTAAGGTTTCTCCTATGTATTCTTTGTGGCAATAATTACGGGTGATAGAGTAAATTCCTCCTTCAATTTTTAGTTTATTATTTTGTTTTGTATTAAGTCTTTTATTATTTTAGAAATCATTGTTACAAATTTTACGTTAAACTTATTTTCAATTGCAGTTGCAATACAGTTGGTGGGTAACGCGTCACACGAAAATTTTTCCACGCTGTCTTAGATTTCCCTAAAAGGACAAACGTTCAAACGAGTTCCATTCTTTACGTCCATTCTATATTCACGGAGCCGAATCATCCACATTTTCCCTCGTATTCCATTTGTAAGAAAGAAGTTCAACCCAGTTCTTTTTCTAGAACTGCGACTCTGTGGGACAAATTCCGCGTGGATTCATCTATAAACACAATAACCTCTTCAAAAATGATACAACGGTTTATGGATACATTTTCCAAATTCTACATAAGCAAAGATTAACAGCAGATCTCTCTTCTGACTTAGCTCTAACAGCTAGGGGGGTGGGGGACTGTCTTGTTACATTCAACGCCTCGAAGACTAAACTACTTACATTTTATCATCGACGATCGGACCCTAAACTATCACCAATTACGATGAATAGATGTTTCCTCAGGGTGGCCCCGTGCCTTGAACGCCTACTGCAGCTTAAATTCAACCTAGGTCTCAAGTGTAGCACGACCGCTAAAGATGCAGGGAAAATGGTCAGATCCCTGTACCACTCCAGTAAGTATCCGATTCCTGCTATCGCCTATCTTTACAAAATCTAGATCAGGCCAAAAATGGAGTACAGCTATCATATTTGGCCAGGAGCTGCACAGTCTTCACTTTCTAGTTTCGATAGAGTCCAAACGCATAACAGCATCATTGTGGGTGATGAATTATTTTCCACCTTACAAGCCCTTTCTAACAGCCTCAGGCTGCTCTATTGCTATTTCCATGGGACGTTCTCAGACGAACTACATTCCTTGGTTCCACCAGTTTTAACCTTTAGGGCTAAGACCCGCCACGCTGCGCACATTATAGCCAACCACCCCCATTCCCTTCGTATTCCATTCGTAAGTTCCACTCCAGCAGATTCTCCCCACTGCTCTTTGGAACCGACTCCCAAAATGTTTCTCCAATCACTATAATCTGAATCAAGGGTTAACCGGTAAATTCCCCAAATATTTCCATAACCTGCACCTCTTACAAAGCCTTTCCCACAGACGAAACGTCCTAAGTCTCTCGCCGCTCTGTCGCTGTTTCCATGGAAAGAACTCACACAAACTATATTACTAAGTTCCATCAGTTTTAGCCACCATGTCGTGATCTTTTAAGTTCTAAACAAAGATACAGTTGCAATCCGTACTTTAAAATTATGGATATTATAGAGTACAAAAATGGTTTAACTATCATTTACCGGCTTTAAGGAACAACAGTAGCGATATCTCGTCCTTTTACTAATCTTACGGTACTTCGTTTACGCAGCAAATAGGTTACCAACTGTTGTGCTCAGATTTTCTGAACCTACAAATTGCTATCAATATTGGTAGATGACCTAACTATCACTACAGATACTATTATCAATGGCATTTTTCTCTTTCATGATCTAAAAATTGCTGCTAACGATGTTGGTCTCTATGCCAATGCCTCTAAAATTGAATTAATGAGCTTCAACCAGCAAGGCTTAATACAGACTGTCGATGAATTAATCAATAAAATCTGTCGAAGCTGTTACATGTCAAGGAAGCGAAATAAATTCTACTGAAAAGGTTGTGAAAATTTACACAGCTAAAGCCTGGGCCTTCTTAAATAAAAATGGATAAATTCTGGAAATCCGACCTACCAGAAAACCTCAAATGGAGATTCTTACGCGGCACTGTAGAGTTTGTTTTAATGGATGGTGCCACCTCTTGGACGTTAAGTAAACCCCCTGTGTCTAAACTTGATGGGACCTACACTCAGATGCTGAGAGCTGTACTTAACACCTCCTGGAGCCAACATCCAAGTAAATCACAGCTATATTGACTGATATTTCTACAATCTTACGTCGGCACAGAATGCTCTTTAAAGAACACTGTTGGCGGGTAAAAACACGAACTTGCTAGTGATCAACTGCTCTGGAGATCTAGCCATGACGCTAGGGGTACTGGTACCCCAGCAACTACCTACATTGACCAACTATGTACAGATAGGGGGTACCACACTGATGACCTTCCGACATTGATGTGGTACCATGATTGCTAGTGTGATAGACTCGTGGATGTCCCTGCTAGGTCATTTGAATAAATAATCAATAAACTATAAAATACTATTAAGGAGAGTGAACGATAAAAGAACAAGAATTAAGAACACAGAAGATAACGATTGACACTGCATTTAAATTTTTGAACATCAAAGTTGACTGGGGAACAAGAAGCCAGGAGAGAGTTCCATAAGCGAGAAGTGCAAAGGAAGAAACTATTAGCATAGAACTTACGGTTACATTAGTAAAATATAAGTTCTAATTTAGAAGCTTCTTCCCACAAACCACTGCTTAGTGAAACTGTCTCTCAAGAAGTGCTTCCTCGATCACTACAATCTTAACCTAGTTAAGTTATCTTCCCCACATCTCTTAATAATCTGTACCTCTTACTCTCTTACGCTCTACATCGGGTGGCTCTTTGAAGTTCACCCTGAACAAGGCCAATGTAAAAAAAATTATTTTACTGTTATTTTTATTGATGATATTAGCATGATAATAATTTTATCATTGTTTAGGAAATTTAATCGTTTTTTTTTTGTTTTTTTTTTTTTTTTTTTTTTTTTCGTTTAAAAAAATAGGTTACTTCTTCAACGGACAATAAATCGCTACTGATTTTCCTGTTAAGTTTTTCTTACTTGCAAAGTGAAGATCTAGTTTTACATTATAAATCGAACACCTCCAAAAACTTAATTTGCCAAAAGAACATTACATCATATACATTTAAAGTGCATAATAATACATATGAAAAATATCTTCCAATAAAACCACGCCATTTAGTTTAACCAAATCATTGCCAAATTTTTTAAGCACTTAATCATAATTTTTACTAGCTTTGGCAAAAATCCAGCAATGAAATATTTTACTTCTTCTTGAAAGAATTTAGCATGATGGACGAAAATAATTTCATCATATTGATCACTTCCCAATTTTTAATGGGGCTTTCTACCAAGAATATAATTCAGTAATCTTGTTCAGTCCAGTTACTTGATACGGGAACGTATATCCTTCTAACCTAACAAGGTGACCTTTTATCGGGTAATTCTATTTCTCTGCCAAGTGAGGATATTTTATGTAAAATTTCATGCTTTTCTTGACAATTAAGATGTACGTTTATTTTGTTTGTTTGGTTTTTTTTTGTTTTTTTTTATTTTATTTTTAGAGACACTTGGGTGGCGATCAGTAGAAGAGGGGGAAAAATATTTGAATTCCAAAACTTCAGGATGGAAACGGGAAATCGCTCCACTATCTTTCCCAAGAAGTCATGGCAATTCACAGATAATTAAGAAAAGACATCTGGAGAGAGACCCTAGATTGTCTACATGATAAAGGGTCAAGGCATTTGATACAAGCGAATTGGTTAAATAGTAGGGTAGACTGGGCATTCTAACCTTGGCTGTCAGTGAGTGTAAATGAAGCAGTACTCTAAATTCTAAACCATCGAGAATGCTGTTGAAAACCATTCCAATCTCTTCTGCAAGATGTCATGGCAATTCACAAATAATAAAGAAAAGGAATCTGTGGAGAAGACAACTCTAAATTCTTTCCCAAGAGTAAATAGCAATTCGAGGTGAAAATAGCTACAATTGTTGAGTAGTCGAGTATATTTTATGGTAACGTTAATGGTAATATTAACTGTTTCCCTATAAGGAAACATTTAGCATTCATTCACCGAGCAGCCAGTACTGTTTTCGATTGAAATTTGTAAAATCTTTCTCTTAAAATACTTTTTACGGATGGATAGAATTATTTTAATAACACGGGCACCAAACGGCTAGCAAAATACGACTTTATTGACAATTAGGTTTAGAGTGATTTATTTGTTTTTTTACGGTTTATCAACCTTTTGCAGGTTATTTAAAATCCGAAAATATTGTTCAAACGCCTGCACATCCAAGCTTGTAGAATATGGTATTCCCAAACGATCACCCATCTAAGTATTGACCAGGTTCTACGTTGTTTAACTTCGGTGACCGTACGAGAACCGATGTTTCAACGTGGTATCGCCGTATGCGAATTGGTTTAGACGATTTTTTGCCCGGCACAAAAGTGAGACATAGGCTAAGCCTTAAGTTTATAATAAAAAAAAACTGTTTTTTTTTTCTTTTCTTTCATAAAATACTTAGCATGTATTTTTGCATGTGTGTTTGTGTATATGTTTGTGTATGTGTTCATGTATGTATATTTGCGTGTGTGTTCGTGTATGTGATTCGTGTCTTTGCTCATGTGTGAATTTTGAGTGCGTGTTTGTGTATGTGTTTTGTGTGTGTGTTCATGTATGTATTTCAGCGTGCGTATTTGTTTATGTGTTTTTTGTATGTGTTCATGTGTGACTTTTCCATGTGTGTTCGTGTATCAGTTTTGTGAATGCGTTCAATGTTGCATTTTTGCGTGTCTATTCGTGTATGTGTTTCTTCTGTTTTTGTATGTTTTTTTTTTTCATGAGTATGTTCGTGTATATGTGTATGCCCTTGTATGTGTTGTGTATGTGTTTGTGTTCCTGTATGTGTTTTGAGTGTTCGGGAATGTTTTTGTGTTTGTTCGTGTGCTTTGTATGTGCTTGTATTCATGAATGCGCTTAATTGTGTGCGTTCGTATATGTGCTTTCACTTTGCTTGTGCATGTCTTATTATGTTTCGTGGATGCGTTTTTGTATGTGTATGTATTTTTGTGCTTGTGTATGTGTTTTTGTATGTGTGCATTCATATACGTTTTTGTGTGTTGAGGTATGTTTTTTTCTCGTATCTTTGCATGTGTATTTGTGTATATTCGTGTATTTGCTTTTTATGCGCTCCCAGGTATGTGTTTTTTGTGTGTATTTTCGTGCATGTGTCTGTGTGTGTGTTCGTGCATGTGTCTTTCTTGTGTGTTCGTGTAAGTGCTTTTTGTATGTGTTTCTGTTTTTGTGTGCTTTGGGGGCGTGTTTTTATGCATGCTTCTATTTTCTCTTTGGGCGTGTGTGATTCTTTTCTGGTACGTGTGATTCTTTTTGGGTGTGTCATTGTATGTGGGTGTGTATTTCTTCGTATCCTTGAACGAATAAAACATGACATAAAATAAGCATAACATTTCACTGATTGATTTACACTCTTGAATCTGCTTCCCTATTTGGTAGGCATTTTTAACCAACCAATCAAAACTGATCAGATCATCGTCTAAATGAAACAAAAACCGAATTTAATTCTTAGTGCAAGAATTAAATTCGGTTTTTGTTTCTGTTGAAACTTGACTAATGCATGGGATAATAATGCAACACAAAATGTACTTAGAACAAAATGTATTGAAACAAGAAAGTGTACACAATATTTACATATAGTCTTTTGCATATTCCTGGTAAGACCGTTCCTGGAGAATGTGTTGACTGAGTCGCAGTCGGGCAGAGTCTCTGGTTGAATCTCTTGATTCCTCCCTCTCTTCCCGGTACCAACCATATTTATGCAAATTAGGTGGATCCTACCACAACAGTTTCATAACCTAATAAAATATAAAACTAAAAAGTGTCTTAGACAATATTTTTCGATGAAATATTTCTTTCATTCTCAATTCAAGTCAGGAGCAAACCAGTAGTGTCAAAGAAAAACAGATTTAATTTTCTTCGATGAACAAATATTATATTTTTTTAATAAATTATGGGGAAAGTCAGTTCCTGTGTTAATGCTTTTTTCAAAACAAAAATATTTTCTTTCTAAACATTAATAAGAGAAATTGTAGTCTTACTCTAAACGGTTGCAAACGTTAATCTCTTTAATCCCTTAATGGTAAAGTTTAATAACGAAAAAAAAAAGAACGGTAGACACTTTCTTCCCTTTCCTCTACAGAATGGAAGGGCATGTCCTTTAAACTAACTTCGGGTTCAATAAATACAGGACCGATGCAAAAGTAGGTATACAGTAATGAAAAAAACGCGCGTACTAACGTATTGTATTGATTATACAAACATATCAATAATAATATATCAATCCCTCAAATGTTTAAATTGTTTGTCCCCCGGTATTCACACACTCCTCACGTCGATAGTGGCACAAAGATTTTATAAGTATCAGTTTCCTGGCAAGCCTCCCGTATGAATAGAATCGTGGCATCATCAGAACGTGCTTGTTCTAGAGAGACAAGCTTGCTTAACCATTACGCCGCCTCGAGGTACCTCAATATTCACTGTGATATAGGATAATTTTTTCTTTGTATCTTTTTATGGTGATTTTACTTAAGCCGCCAATGTATGCCAATAAGTAGACAGCACGCATCTTAAATCAAGAGACCTTCGACGAGATTCGATCTCTAATCTCTTTTTGCTAAAGGCATACCAGATTGAATGAACCGGCACGTTTAACCGACTGAGCTCTAAGAATTCGACGGTCTGGCCATTTTTTTTTCCTCTGATTCAAGTATTTTTTTTCTTGTGTTTTAAAAAAAGGGATTTCTTTTCCTCCATTCCTTTACACAATTTTTCTCCATCATTACCGTTTTTCTGCTGCCTTTTGTTCTCTTTAATCCCTTATCTTCTGAGCAATTCCTCTGTACGTGTTAATCATACCAGAAGGAATTAACAGATTGTCATTTCGAGTGAAAAGATTTTAAACAATTGTCAGAGTCCGACTCCAACGTTAACTTGAAGCTAGCATTACGTCGCAATAAACTTGCCTTAATCTTCACGTTTTATCGCTTTTTAATTAATTTATTTTTTTATCCAAGGCTCTTTTGTATGAGACGTCGATAAGACGTTTATTTAACAAAGGCTCTCTATATGAAGCCACTTCCCCTCTCAGAAAGGTAAAAAATATCTAAAGCAAAACAACTCATTTGTCTAAACAACTAGAAAAATAAAGAAAACGTAATCAGCATCAAATTATATACACTTTTTGTATGCGTTGCAGAAAAACTCAACACCGCCGACTGAGCGCCAGGACAACTCAGAACCGAGAAAACACAGCACCAGAAAAACAAATGTTTTATAACTGAATAAAAGTAATTTATGAAGGATTAAAACCTTAATTAGTGAATATTTTTCTTCAAATAAGGCATTTGAAAAGATATTATGTAAAATATGAACCAGTTTTTTAATTATTTTTAATTAAGTAAATCGTTAAGAAATTTATTTTTTAATAAAGTAAATTGACATATAAAAATAGTTCAATAAAACACTCTTGTTTTTAATTATTTTTAATAAAGTAAATCGTAATGAAATTTATTTTTTAATAATGTAAATTCGACATATTAAAATATTTTTTCTTTGTCCTCAGTTGTCTCTGCCCTGAGTTGCCCCGGCGCTCAATCGACGGTGTTGAGATGGAGGAGTTGAGTCGACGGTGTTGAGTTGGCTGTGTTGACCATATAAAAGGGAGAAGGGACAGTTCCCGCTTTTATATGGTTTGTATAAGCACTTTCATAGTTCCGCATTTATACCTTAGTTTGTTTTTTTATTAATTATTTGCTAAACCTAGTTTGGTAATACTAATTGCTTTTCAGTTATGATGCTATAAAACTTTTTCATGCTGATGTTCATCCAATCTAATTCTAGGCTCAATAGCCACTCAAAGCAGAGGGTTACTGAATTGTGCGACATATATAGTCACTTTCCCACCGCCGTGACGTAGCTTGCCTCTTTTTATATACCGTAATTCCCCATGTATAATACGCCTTCATCTATAATACGCACATCTAAAATTGTGCTGGAAGTGTGGGAAAATGCTTCTACTCATGCATAATACGCATCCCTATAAATTGTATCTCTCCAATTTCATTAAGGCCAGTGTTTCCTACTCTTATTTTAAAAAATTAGTTTTAAATATAAAATAATATTATTCTAATTTAGTTTTATGATAATTCTTATTTTATTTTACGGCAATTTTTTAAAGATTTTTTGTAGCTGTGTATAATACGCACCCCTGATTTTGCTTATTATTTTTAAAAAAAAATGCTTATTATACATGGGGAATTACAGTAAATATTTTCATGTCATTTGTTATAATGTGCCCTCGACTGCGGCTGATTGTAAATACACATTGGGGTTAGACTTAAATTGTTTTTTATTCCCTCTCCACCCCACAGACAAAAAATATTACATATGGGAACTAGTTTGAACTTCATGGAGAATTTGAGGTATTATGGTGAATGTAGTAAGATTAATAAGAAAGTTGTTTTGCAAGAAATACTGTGGTATGTTTGGGTCAGTAATTGTGGCCAGCTAAATTTCATTGTAAGACAGAAGGTCAACCTAACAAACCTCCTCTTTCGGCCTTGTGCCACATTTCTGTATTTTCACAAAATAAATATCTTTCTCGATCACGGCTGTCCACATCTTCCTACTCTTTGTAGTTAATGCTTCTCCCTTCACTAAGTAGATTACTAGCTGTTTCTCTTTGCCTCCTCAATGAATGTCAAATTCGCAAAACTCTCTTTCCTCTTTTACTGTCCATGAAATTTCAACTGTCTGACTCTCTTTTATTGGTCTTGACCTGGCACCTCGTCTTAAGTCACTTTTTCCTACTGCAGCTTATTAGTTTCCCTGTGCCTTTTCTATAAATATTTTCATTGTAACTGCTCGGATGAGCTCTTCACTATGGTACCTAGATTTTATGAATTTAAACGCTATACTAGATTAGCAGAAAGGTCTCATCATTTTACAGTTGAAATGACTAGATGTAAATGTAAGTTCTATGCTAACAGTTTTTTGTCTCGTACTTCTCACTCATATTTTGTTCTCTTTCGGCTTTTTGCTTCCAAATCAACTTTAAATGTCAGTTGTAATCTTCTGTCTTCTTAATTCTTGTCCTCTTTGTTTAATAGTTTTTTTCTCTTATTCTCAACACTCAGTAAAGCCCTTGTGTCTCAATGTTCAGGGATGAAATGATTAAAAAAGTAGCTACTTCTATGACAAAAAACAATAGTACTGGTATATTAAATGAGAGTCAACCTCTTTCCCATAATAGGTGTTATGTTTGTGTTGTAGCATACCTACCGACGATAATGGGTACGTCTCCATTCACATAAATACAGTAGTAAATACTGTATGTTGGTCTGCAGTTGGAGATTCGTCTCCAGCTGTGCTAGTCGAACTCTCTGCCCAAAGGCAGAGAGGAACCCAGACGAGGCTATGCCGAAGGGCAGAGTCTCGTTTGGGGGTGGTAGACAGCTACCCGACCCCGTTTTATTACGGGGTCTACGGGGAATATTTGCCCGAGCCTACGGGCTCGGATACCCCACCTTAAATTCGGCCATGTGCCACATCTGACCACGTGGGGCGGTTATCAAATATCCTGCAATTGAAGATTCGTCTCCAGCTGTGCTGATCAAACACTCTGTCCCCGGGCGGAGAGGACCGCCAGACGAGGCTATGTCGAAGGTCAGAGTCCTGTCTCGGGAAACAACTACCCGACCACGTTTTACACAAGGTCTCGGGGAATTTTCGGTCCAGCCTACAGGCTCGGATGCCCCACATTAAATACGGCCTTATGCCACATCTGACCGCGTGGGGCGGTTAGTAGATATCCTGCAGGTGGAGACTCGTCTCCAGCTGTTCTGGTCAAACACTCTGCCTCCGGGCGGAGAGGATCGCCAGATAAGGTTATGTCGAAGTCTCGTCTCGGGAAACAGCTACCCGACCCAGTTTTATACGGGGTCTGCGGGGAATTTTTGGCCGAGTCTACGGGCTCGGATACCCAATATTAAATTCGGCTTTGTGCCACATCTGACCGCGAGGTGCGGATGGCAGATATCCTGCAGTTGGAGATTCATTGTGGAATTCACTTGAATCAGTAGCAGTTGACTACTTCTTCTACGCGCCGCTGGCGAATCTTATATGTGTTGTTCTTGTCCTAAATATTATCGTTCACTACCTCCCTTCGTGTGATTATTCTATTCAGTAACCTTACCTAGGTTACAACAGTTTTCATTCAAATTTTGTACACTAAATGTAACAGTAATTATGGGACATTTTATAAAATTAGTTTCGTTGATCATTACTAATGTGTAATGAGTCTGAACCTCTCTCGTTGTTCTATACCAAGCTTAGTAACAACTATTCGGTGAGTGAGGTGTTAATGGTTTGTAACACTAACTTGTTACTCACAGCTTCACAGCTTCAGGACGTAGTCGATCACGGCTCTCCACAATTTCTTATCTTTGTAGCCCTAAATAATGCTTCTCCCCTCAATATCACTCAGGTGGTTACTAGTTTTTTTTTTCTCTCTCTCTCTCTTCCTCTCAGTATGTCGTGTGCGTGTAAAATTCGCCAAGCCTACTTTCTTTTTTATTGTCTATAAAATTTCAACTGTCTTATTCTGCCGCTCAGTAAAAGTGTCCATTTTGTATCCAGTTTCATTAATAATTTCTCGTTGTCTAAACAGCATGAATTTAAACGTCCGATTCGATTGGCAATTAGGTCTCATCGTTTTACTGTTCAATTAGCTAGATGCAACCGTAAGTTCTATTCTAATAGTTTCTTTTCTGGCACTTCTCGCCTGTGGAACTCTTTTCCAGTTTCTTGTTTTCCTTCCAGCTATAATTTTTCTCAATACTGCTTTTTTTCTCATATTCTCTAACACTCAGTACTCTCTTGCATCTTAGCAGCCTTATTATCTTGGATTAAAAAGACAATGCATGTGAAAACATTTTTTGCTTCTAATTTTTTCTAACGTTTCTAAGAACTTAGAAGTATAGCTGAAGTTTATTAAATCGTTTATTGTGGAAACAGTCCATTTACAATAAGGGGCTAGACTTACCGCTTAGAATAAGAGCACTTCCTGTTCACTGTTAAAATATCTTGCTTTTCGGTCCAGCCTACAGGCTCGGATGTCCCACATTAAATTCGGCCTTATGCCACATCTGACTGCGTGGGGTGGTTAGTAGATATCCCGCAGTTGGAGACTCGTCTCCACCTGTACTGGTCAAACACTCTGCCCCCGGGCAGAGAGGATCGCCAAATAAGGTTATGTCGAAGGGAAGAGTCTTGTCTCGGGAAACAGCTACCCGACCCAGTTTGGGAGTTATACAAATTCATATCAAGTTCTGAAATTTAAACTTGAGAGCAAAATATTAAATGCAATGTTAATCGTTAACTTCTGTCTTCTTAATTATTGCTCTTTTATTGTCCTCTCTCCTTAATTATGTTTTTTCTCATATTCTCTAACACTCAGCCACCCCTTGCGTCTTAGTGACTTTATTGCTTTTCTTGATGCGAAATGATTAAAAAAAACTAAATTTCTATGAACTCCAGCCTACTACATTATGTTCGGTGGCTATTGACCATGCAAGAATGTTTGACAAGTCTTGGTTTTAATACTGCCGGGTGTTTCGCCACCATCCTTACTAGAAAAGTCTGATGGGAGAAGCAGTTTAGTTGTCGATGATAAGAGAACCAGTTTAGTATTAATGTCAAATGTTATCTGCCGTCTTCTTAATTCCTGTTCTTTATTGTCCCCTTTCCTTAATAGTGTTTTCTCTTCATATTCCTTAACACTCAGTAACTCCCTTGACTTGTTTGGGGTAAAATGATTAAAAAGAACATGTGAACGCAAATGCAGACGAGAACAACAAGATATTCGCGCCTTTTGTTATTTTACCGGATATGCAATTTTAATTCTTCACAGAGAATTCTGATTCAAAGATTAGTAAACCCGATATAAATAATTCATTTCATGACGCCAATGGTTTAGCTTCAACTTTAAGTCAGTGTACATTCGAAGCGAGAATTACATCAAAATAAATTTGTAGAAAAGCGATAGCAACTCCTCACGTTTTATCGCTTTTTTTATTTATTTATTTATTTTTTTTTTTTCAAAGCTATTTTGTATGAGATAAGATGTCTTCCTGAAGGATATTCAACCTTCACACCATTTCTAGAAAAAATCCTGAATGGTAGCGTTATGCAAAATCAATCATTGGGTCTACTTAACGTTAAAGTCCATAAATATTTAGAGCAACAACAACTATTTTGCTTAGGTCCCATTCAACTAAGTCATGAGCAAAGAAACGCCCCCCAATACCCATTGTTCATTCCTGAAAAGTGCAAGGAAGTTCAACTGATAAAAAATAACACAATTAACCTATTGTATTGTCTTGAAAGTTTGAGATAAATTTGGTAATGCTGGGGCAGAATTTATTAAAAATGGTATCCCGAGATTAACAATCATTTTTAAGCAAATCAAGGGTGCTCGGATTGAGGAATCGGAGAGCCGAGTTGTTGTTGTTGCTGTTGTTGTTGTTGTTGTAGAAGAAGAAGAAGAAGAAGAAGAAGAAGAAGAAGAATGGAAAAAGTATCAATCTGAGTTCCAATTCCAAAGTGGAAACAGCTGTGATAATTCATAAGCGGTCAAGCTCGACAAACACGATGAAGCTCTTAAAATCAGCGTGCCCTCTTTTGGCAAGATTTGTGAAGGCATCCTGCAAACAGCTTGAAATAGACCAACCATCTTAACGCGTACAATAACAGTCTCCCGTTTCGCCACGATCTGGTTTTTTGGTTTTTTTATCTCTCAGAATCGTTCCCTGCATCTGATAAATCGTCAGTCATGCATGAAATTGAAAAAAAAATAGCGGGAAATGATGATAACCAGGATTTTACGGCAATTTCAGCTGATATAAATCCGCGTAAAGTTCGGCTTACGGTCACATCGGTTCCTGACCGATCACCGAAGATAAGCAACGTCGAGCCTGGTCAGTATCTAGATCCGTGACCACTCGGGAATACCATGTACTGTAAGCTTGGACTGTAAATTGTGCCTTTTGGCTATGTCTCCTAATCCCTGACCCTCCAGGTATTTACACAAAGCTTTAGGTAGGTTATGTGATGTTTTACTCTCTCGTTATTGCCTTCAATACGTCCTGTCAGTGTCATATTTTCTAGGCCATCTTTCCTCATTTTGTGCCCTAAAAATTTCAAATCTTTCTGATTCCCTTTTTGCTTCCATTTTCTTTAAAACTTCGTCGTTGTTGACATGTTCAGTCCCTGTTATTCTCAGCATCCTTCGGTAGAACCACATTTATATTGTCTCAAGTCTCTTCTTCATCTGGTTTGAAGCCATATCACCGTACGATCACCGATGTTAAGCAACGATGATCCCGATCAGTACCTATAATTTAACCCATATCTGAGGAAAGAATGGTTGATTTTGTTTAGCGGTATATCTACCTATATGGGTTATTTAATGCTAAAATCTAAATATTTTGAACATTTATGGCTTCAACTACAGATGAATGATGTTGATCATTTTGTTATAAAATTTATTGTTGGTAATTGTACTATATGTAACGTTGGTAATATTTTTCTATAAAAATGTATTGCTGATATTTTTACTATACCAATGTATTTTTATAGTTTCTTAGTGTTTGAGAGTTCACTATTTGCCCATTGCTGGGGCCCTAACAAGTGCTAACATCCCAGGTCAGGGTGAACGTGGGAGCAACAGCAATTAAGCCGTGATTCCACGCCCCTCAAAACTTCCAATCTAACGATCAGAGGCCTTGCTGACGAATGTAGTTTATCGTCATACCAAGGACTCCCGAGGAAAGAATGTTTGGATTCATAACGATTGCCAATCAATAGTAGAGTCCAATTTGCCCTGCTATTTAACACATAGCTAGAGGAAGAATAGATATATTCATACCTACTGCCAATCAAGAGTAGAGAGTCCAGTCTCTCCTGCTATTTAATCCATAACTGGGGGATGAACAGATTCATACCTGCTAGCAATCAAGAGTAGAGAGTCCAGTCTCTCCTGCTATTTAACCCATAAATGGGGAAGAATAGATTCGTACCTGCTACCAATCAAGAGTACAGAGTACAGTCTCTCCTGCTATTTAACCCATAACTGGGGGATGAACAGATTCATACCTACTGCCAATCAAGAGTAGAGAGTCCAGTCTCTCCTGCTATTTAATCCATAACTGGGGGATGAACAGATTCATACCTGCTGGCAATCAAGTGTAGAGAGTCCAGTCTCTCCTGCTATTTAACCCATAAATGGGGAAGAACAGATTGATACCTGCTACCAATCAAGTATCCACTTTGCCCTGTTATTTAACCCATAGCGGGAGGAGGAACAGATAGATTCATACTTTTGTCAGTCAAAGCTAGGGAGACAGTCAACTATTTAACGCATAGTTGGTGGAAAGAAGCGATGGAATCATGTACTTTTGTACGAAAGTTAATTTAACGATCTCGACTGAAATTCGAACTCAGCTCGTTGATTTCCCGTTTCTAGCCTCTGACTATTATTACACCGACCGCTTAGGAATTTTGGAAATGTTTCATTTTCCACCGATTACCATTTTACTTCGTGTTGGATACAAAAGTAAATAAACCATTTTATTGGAACACAGTTTTTGGCAGAAATCTTGACCAGACTTAGATCGACCACCGTTTAATCCGACAAATGTTATCAGGGTGAGTAGAAGAAAGAGAAGAAATGATTTATGCCCAAAGACAAAGCTTTGCTTAAAATCTTCCCGAGTTATTTCAGGAAATAACAGAGCTGCATTAATCGAAAGTTGCTTACCTCACATTTCAAAGTAATATTGATGTTTCCAAATCGTAGATGCATCGTGTGTCTGTATTAAAGTTATAAAGAAACACATGACCATCTACAGACAACTTTAAAACAAAGAAGCCAACTCTGATAGAATATACTTGTCGATAACCATTGTTTGATTTTAAAGAAGTACCTACCTGATTCTTTAAGATTTTGTGTTTACTCAGCCCCACCACGAGGTCAGGTTGTGACACAAGGTCGGTTTAATGTGGGGAGCCCGAGCGCGTACACCCGGGCTAGAAACAAAAATTACCCGCAGCCCGAACAAGCGGCAATTGTGTTGGCCTCAGTGCAAGCCCCGATCCCTCCCCCTGGTGAGAGGGCGCAGCATCAGCCAGCTCTTCCCCAGGGCTGGGCATCTAAGTATAATTTTTCTCAGTTGCGACTTTGTCCTCTGACAGAGCCTCATCTGAATGCACTCTACTCAAAGACAGAGACGCAACTGAGAGATGATAATGCGTTGTAAAGTACTCGAGAGAGTAATTTACGCACTGATCTAACCGATTCTTTATGATAGCATCCTCCCACTTAGGACTGATGCAACAATTTTTTTCTTTTCTAGTTGACCTTAGCTGTGTATAACACTGGGTTGTGATTAATAATTATATATATATATATATATATATATATATATATATATATATAAGTAAAGAGAGAGAGAGAGAGAGAGAGAGAGAGAGAGAGAGAGAAAGGTTATAATTGTTCCAACTAGAGAAAAATGTATATTTTTTAAAGTGATAAACCGCAAACGTTTTTGGTTATAATGTGGATTTGTTTTAGCGTATATGTTATATTTTATTCTTCATATTTTTGCTACACGTGTTTCCGGGCTCGTGACCATCTTCAGGCAAATTAAAGGAATCAATTTTTAAAGGAATAAAATTTCCTTATGTTCTTTTAATATTTTATTGTGCATTTTCCATATTTGTAGTGAGCCTTGATCTCATTTTTTCGACTGTTGGCAAAAGTGAATTTCTGCCTAAGTGGTAATAAAATCATTAGGTTTGGTCTTAGTGGTGGCGATGACAGATGTCTTGATGATAGATGACCCCTTATCCACACATCACCCCTGAGACTGTCAAATCTATTACTCGGGACGATCTATTTTTTTTTTTTTTTTTTAAGAACGTTGAGCTTCCACAATTAACGCTATGAAGCTATGCTTGTCAGCTTTGGAGTAACAAAAAAAGTCCTATGAAATGGTACATCTGAGGTTGTATTTCGTTTTTGGGGGTCACTGTTGATACAGGCCAGAAGAGACCAATGGAGGCAAAGTTACCGTAGAACGAGTGTCAGGAAAGAGGTCTTAGAACACTTGCAATATACCCTGATATACCGGGAACACGAGTAGGCGCATCCACGATTTGGATCAGCTCGTATGCTCATAACAGTATTGACCTTCATCGGTTTTGTTTGAATGGGCTAACCAGTCCTCATGGCGAAAATTGAACTCCCTTACCGATATGAATGTTAGCCGAGGGATGAACAGATACGATCAAACTTGTATGTTCCAATCCGAAATGAGAATGATTTAAAAAAAACCTTTCCACTCTACAATTTATAGGCAGAAGCACAAAAATGCGTGCTGGGATTTTTTTTTTCTAGCCAATAAAATAGTCCGGTTCTCGGTTTCATCTGACAGAGTCCCGATCTGTCTTATCTTGAAGTCAGAAAGCTACATTCTCTTGTACGAACTTGTTTTTGCGGATCAACGTCAATACTTAGTTTGTGAACCTTTTTGCTTTATTATTGTTAATTTGCCTTGCATATGTAGTTTACTTGCTTTATATTATGTTTTGCCCTGTTCTTTTCTTTAATTTTTCTTGCTATTGTTGCAGTTTTTTTGTATATCTATGTAACTAGTGAGTTAGCTCAAATGACTTGACTCACTTTATAGTCCACCAATAGAAGGTTAACCAATCAGAAGACGTAGAATGTTCAATCCGTCGTGTATAAAGGCGGCTATTTTGTTCACTCTACCCGAATGTCCAGTCCAGCTTGTCAGGCGAAGAGAAACAGAAGGACGAACTATGCTCTGCTACGTTTTACCAAAATATCCACTGCTAACGTGAACAACGCTTTCCTACTGTCTTCGAAATATTCACTGCTAACCGCTGGAATCTATACTCGAAGACGACCGTCATTATGAATAACAGTATGAAGGAGAGACGGCACTAAAATTTTACATTTGAATTTATAGTACTCAACAACCACTTTGCTACTTCGAACAAATATATCCCTTTCCGGGACATATCAGTGTATGTGTTGCAGTTTTTTGTGTATAATATGTAACTAGTGAGCCAACCCAAATGACTTGACGCACTTTATAGTCCACCAATAAAAGGTTAACCAATCAGAAGACGTAGAACATTCAATCTGTCGTGTATAAAGGCGGCCATTTTGTTCACTCTACCCGAATGTCCAGTCCAGCTTGTCAGGCGAAGAGAAACAGAAGGGCGAACTTTGCTCTGCTACGTTTTACCAAAATATCCACTGCTAACGTGAACAACGCTTTCCTACTGTCTTCGAAATATTCACTGCTAACCTCTGGATTCTATACTCGAAGACGATCGTCATCATGAACAACAGCTAATGCTTATTGCAAACTTTGTCAATTCTGTTTGTTTGGCAGTTCCGTTATTTGTTTACATTTAACCAGGGCCACTCACTTTACAAATCTTCTAATATTTTTTAACGGTAAAGGTTTACCCCTTGTTTCTATTTTATGATTGGTTTTCCGGTTCATTCTAAAGTCTTTTCATTACGTTTTCTCAGTTCCCTTCACTCTAAGTAACTCCTCGCGTCTTGGGGGCATTTTCGCTTTACTTGGGGGTGAAAAAATTAAAAACAAACTATTCGGTCATACATCAGAACTCCGTCATCGTCAGGAAGATATAAAGAAAAGATAAAAGACGTACTTTAAAAGAGGACAAAGTGACAGCTCATGAGGGACCTCGTTATGAGGTTTTCTGCCACATCCCTGATATACGCTTCAATTCTATGCCCATGGCGATTTAGAAAGTCTTGTTTTGTGATTAAGGTAGATGAAAATAAGAACAGCAGCATGTATTGGGCTGGCATTCATTTCGACGTTCAAGACTCGTTATTGATCAGAAAGCATAGAAAGTTTCACAATGGTGCAAGATGTGACTGGAATTTATTTCAGTGGAATTGTTTTTATTTGACTAATGTTCTTCGGCTTAAAATCTAAGCTGGAGGCTGAGACAGAGATGCTGATGGTAAACAAGAATGCAGATCGATTTTAGTTTTCAATGAGGGCAGGTTCGCATCTGTTCTGACCAATAGAAGTTTTAAGTTTATTTAGTTATTTTGATGCTAGCCACTTCATTAGGCGGGCTATTCAACTGTGGTAACCAAGAACGACCCCAAATGAGAACTCCGAGGATGGTCAGGAGTTTGGAAATGAACGTTTCTCGGCTTTTTTTTTTTCAGATTGTTGATGTTTACTCTGCAAAGAAGAACGTTGTTGCACCCAAAGGAATTTGGTGTCGTTTATTCAGTTTTAGAAAAGAGTTGATTTTTCTATTGTGTGCATGAAAATTTGTTTGTTTTTTTTTAGTTTTTGTGGGTTTTTTTTTTGTTTTGTTTTTTGTCAGATTGAATATGCATTGATCAAGTCTCTTTTTAAACACATACACAGCATCGCTTTCATTCTCTATTTTATACAAATTTCTTTCATACATTTATCTAGCTATATCTTTGTGTATATATATATATATATATATATATATGTCTGTCTGTGGGTGTAAAACTTTCGGATAGAGTATATCTGTAAAAGGGCAATATGAATAAAGACAAAATGAAAACTTATCTTAGCCAACGCATTTCGTACTCTAAGGGACTTTATCAAGCATACGTAAGGGTTTTATCTTATTTTGGTTGTTGTGTTTCAACTTCAATGTGTTATTTAATGCCGACAAGATTTTTAGGATAGGTTCGTATGAACAGAATATGTACTAATATTTTTTTTTCAAAAAAGTATTACTGATAATATTTTTTTCAAATATGTATTGCTGGCAATATTTTTTTTTTTCAAATATGTATTGCTGGCAATAGTTTTTTTCGAATATGTATTACTGATAATATTTTTTCAAATATGTATTGCTGGCAATAGTTTTTTAGCGAATATGTATTACTGATAATGTTTTTTTCAAATATGTATTGCTGGTTATACATTTTCTTTCAAATATGTATTGCTATATTTTTTTTTTTACTTCCATTGTGTTTTTAAACTTACTATTCCACTGAATCCCGTTGGCTACACTATATCAAAAACAGTTGTTCCGAAAGGTTTTCGATGGAATAAAATATGTTTAGCAACAGGAAGTATTCATTGGCACAACCCCAGAAAGTATGCGCCAAGTGTGTTCTCATCGATTTGATGGCATGCCAGGAAAATCACTTTTATGTTAGAGAGTAAAGTGATTTGGTAGCCGACAACATATCAGTCGCAGTCAATGTAAGGGAAATACATGAATATATAATGCGAAGCTATATGAACAATATGTGACATAATATAGACATAACATGAAGTTATCTATGTATCTGTCAGTAAATATAATAATAATAATAATAATAATAATAATAATAATAATAATAATAATGGAACGGGGAAAAATGAAGAGAGACTTGAAAGAAAGAAAGAAAGAAAGAAAGAAAGAAAGAAAGAAAGAAAGAAAGAAAGAAAGAAAGAAAGACAAAAAAGGCAGAATTAATGTTCAAGAGTGGAAGTCAAAGAGATACAGAGAGAGGGAGATCGAGATAAAGAGGAAGAGAGAGAGAGACTGAGAGAAAGAGTGATAGAGAGAACATGAGAGAGAGGAAGAGGGAGAGAGGGAAGGAACTGGGGGGGTAGAAAAACAGAAGCAACCAGGGAGAGACAAAAAGAGTGAGCGACAGAGAGAGAAACAGGAAGAGACAGACTGAGAAATAGAGCGAGAGAGAGTGAAAGAGACAGAGAGACATTTATATAAGACATATATAAAGGAAAATAGAGAAGTGGAATCAGAGATAAATAGAGAGAGAGAGAAAGAGAAAGTGAGAATAATAATAATAATAATAAAGGCTCGAAGAGAACTGAAGAGAGACTTGAAAGAAGAAAAGACTGAATAAAGACGCAATGTCTATTATAAAGGTTCAAGAGTGGAAATGAAACAAAGTGTGTGTGAGAGAGAGAGAGCTAGCGAGAGAAAGAGAGAGGGGATAGCGAGAGAAAGAGAGAGGGGATAGCGAGAGGAAGTGGTAGAAACTGGTAGAAAGAGGGAGAAAGAGAAAAAAGAGTGAGATGAAAAGAGGCAGAGAGACAGAAAAAAATAGGTCAAGAGAGACTGAAATAAATAGGGAGAATGATAGAAAAAAAGAAATACAAAGAGGAAGAGGGAAAAAAAACAAAAAACAAAGAGGTAGATAAAGACAAAATAAACTGGCACAGAGGGAAACCGAAGCAAATAGATAGATAGATAGATAGATAGATAGATAGATAGATAGATAGATAGATAGATACGAACTGACTGGAATGAGATAGATAGATAGATAGATAGATAGATAGATAGATAGATAGATAGATAGATAAGAGAATGAGATAGATAAAGAAGAGAATAATGAGATAGATAGATAGATAGATAATGAAGAGAATGAGATAGATAGATAGATAGATAGATAGATAGATAGATAGATAGATAGATAGAGAAGATAAATGAGGATGAGATAGATAATAAAGAGAATGAGATAGATAGATAGATAGATAGATAGATAGATAGATAGATAGATGAAGAGAATGAAGAGAATGAGATAGATAGATAGATAGATAGATAGATAGATAGATAGATAGATAGATAGATAGATAGATAGATAGAGAAGAGGATGATAGATAGATAAAGAAGAGAATGAGATAGATAGATAGATAGAGAGATAGATAGATAATGAAGAGAATGAGATAGATAGATAGATAGATAAAGAAGAGAATGAGATAGATAGATAGATAGATAGATAGATAGATAGATAGATAGATGGATAGATAGATAGACAGAGAAGAGGATGAGATAGATAGATAAAGAAGAGAATGAGATAGATAGATAGATAGATAGATAGATAGATAGATAGATAGATAGATAGATAGATAAAGAAGAGGATGAGATAGATAGATAAAGAAGAGAATGAGATAGATAGATAGATAGATAGATAGATAGATAGATAGATAGATAGATAGATAGATACGAACTGACTGGAATGAATAGATAGATAGATAGATAGATACAAACTGAATGGAATAGATAGATAGATAGATAGATAGATAGATAGATAGATAGATAGATAGATAGATAGATACGAACTGACTGGAATAGATAGATAGATAGATAGATAGATAGATAGATAGATAGAGATAGAAGGGAGAGACGGGCGAAACCATCGTGAGAGACATAGAGAAATATATATAGAGAGAAACAAATATATGGAGAGAGACATAAAGAAATAGAGGGAGATTGCAAGAGAGATTATTAGTTGTTTTTGTTTAGCAGCATATCCCCCTCAATGTGTTACTTAATGCCAAAATCGAAATATTTTGTACACAATTTTTTTTAATTTTATTTTTGGAGATAATAATGAGAAAAGGAGGGATTCATCCCTTTCCCAGGAGAATTTGTGCGTAAGTCAATTCAGCGAACCCATCTTGGATTGGAACTCAGTTTTGCTGCCTCATATAGTCTGATACTCCCTTTGTACACTTAGAGATTATTGATAAAATTCTAAGAACCAGCAATATTATTGATCCTGACCTGGCATCTCGGCTTCAATCGCTTTCCCACTGTAGTATAGTATGTTCTCTGTACCCTTTCTATGAAAAATACTTTAATGATAACAGTTCGAATGAACTCTTCGCTATGGTACATTATTTTGTTTATTTTCTTGTAAATAGTTTTGTTTCATATTGTAAATACTAATTGGAGTTAATCTCCTGTTAATTTCCCCCTGAAAGTTCTCCACGCCTTTATCCACTGTGCCATGTAGGCGTTGGTTAGATCCAGTGACAGGACCCAAAGAGTGTAAGTTCAATACCCGCTTAATTTTAAGTCTACCATTCTTCCATACTTTGAATATTACTGTTCCATATGATCTGTTTTTTTCTGCTATGTATTTAGAGAGTCAGGATAGCATCCAAAGAAAAATCTGCAGTTTTATCGGTGCTGGCCTAGCATCTCGGCTTCGGTCATTTTCCTCGCCGCTGTAACGTAGCTTCCCTGTACCTTTTCTATAGTAATTTTCATGATAATTGCTCTGATTAGTAATCATCTCTGGTACCTCGAATTTACGAATTTAAGCGCCTTACTAGATTTTCAGCTAGGTCTCATCATTTTATATTTGAAATTGCTAGACGTAGTGGTTTCATGCTTTCAAATCAACATTGACCTTCAAATATTTCAATGCAATCTCAATCATTATCTTCTGTCTCCTTAATTCCTCTCTTTTATTGTTCTCATTTCTCAATGATGTGTTTTTACAGGTCTTGTAATATGACAGTTGAAATCGCTAGATGTAACCATATGTTCTATGCTAACAGTTTCTTCTCTAGTACGTTTTTTTTTAAACCCAAAGGAGTGAATTAACTATAAATTGCCAACACAGTTTAACTCTTACCTTAAAATATAGTTAAATTTTAAAAATTACGTATTATCATTTCTTATAGTCATAATTTATTAGTATATAATGGTCCACCCTCTAGGAGTAATTACCTTATTTTATTTATTCAGCTTTGTATTGCCATCCAGTTAGTATTATTAATATCTTATATAAATGTTCCACATTTTTAATTTTATCAACAAGGCCCCTTTAAAAAGCTTTCTGAATCTAAAATTTTTAAAAAAGAATTTTCTATTAACTTTACTCCTGATTATTCTACCCCTCCCTTCAACGCCCTTTCAAAAAATTGAACATGTTATATTTGTCTAAAATCACGATACATATTTTCCGCAATTGTCAATGATGGCTTGTCTATGTTCCGGTTTATCATGACATGAAAAATAATTCACCCACCTCCACCCTCTGAGAAGTTACTTTTCTATTTAGCATAGATCTGACATTTTATTGGTTAATCAAGACATACCCACAAGGCTATTTTTAATTCTGATCTTATGCCTCCAACCTGTAACTTTCGGAAAAGAGGTAACACTTTGTCTTTAAATTTTCTTAAAAATTATTTTATCACCAGTTACTTACCATCGCCTGAAGAAGTACAATCAAAGTATTGAAACATGAAAGCTTTTGTTTAACGATCTCAACATGTTTTTATATTATAATCTTTTATAATAAAAATAATTTTTGTATTGAGCACTTTTAAAAAGTAAATGCAACGAACAATGGAATTATGCTCCATTTGTCTTTCTCTCATTTGTGTATATATATATATATATATATATATGTATGCATGTCTATATATATATATATGTATGTATGCATGTATATATATATATATATATGTATGTATATATATATATATATATATATATATATATATATATATATATATATATATATATATATATATATATATATATATATGATCGAAATAAATCGAAATAAAAAGTATAAAATTTAATATTACGAGACATATTTTTAAAAAAAACAGGCGAAGCAACCGGTTTCGCTCCCCGCTCTTCAGGCTTCAACGGGAGATTTAAAATTAACACAGATAAATGTACAATAAAAGGAAGTTGTGGAAAAAAAAATTAGAAAGAGGAACTAGAGGCAAATGACAGCGAGTCCCAACAAAAACTCACGTTGCTTACACAAAGAAGGTTTATGGGACCCGATGTAAAGTGCCTCCAGAACCTTTAGATGAAATAAGGAGTGAGACCGGGACAACACGGTGAACAAGTCAGCACTAAATTTGGCTGCACAATCTCTGTTCTTTAATAGGTGTTCGCATATGGCGGAACTATAGGTGTTTGGGACGAGTCCATTCAAAGGCAAGGTGTGATTTCTAATTTTTGTAGGAACGTGTTGTTTTATTCTCATGCCTAAGCGTTGATTTGATGGGGAGGGAGAACGTCTTTACACGCAGATCGAAACATGGGCCGAGTTTGAAAAATAATCCGAATTTCAGCAGAGAAAAACAACGAACATTGGATGAAAATTGTTTGGCTATTTTTTCACATTTGGTACTAATCCAGGGTAATCTGAGGTAAACTGGGCATTTTTTGACAGTGTGGAGCTCAGCAATTCTGAACACTTCAACTTTACTACGGATAACTGAATTAACAGTATCAAGAGGATAACCCAAATTACATAGAGTGTCCTTAATAAAGTCGATTTCATCGTTCAAGAAAGGCTCAGAGCAGATCTTTAATGCTCTATGTAGGAGGGT